TAAAAAAGGGTTAAATTATTGGAAAATAAGCCAGAAAATGACTCAATAAACACCCTAAAAGTGACATAAAAGTCACTTATCAATCCACGGACTACCAGTCATGGTTCAAGACCTATTGGAGTTGACGATCTCTTGGATCGTTAAGGGGTTTAACCTTTACCCTGTGAACGGTTTACAAGTTCCTAAAACTTTTTGGCAACTCTTTTGCTCTATCTTCTTTCCCTTTGGACGCCACCGTACTGAAGTGTATGATCACAGGGGGGTTCAAGCTTGGGATAATAACTGAAATATTCCCTACAATTTGACTTTCCTTTACTTTAAAAAGCTTTGTCTGAATGTGTTTGACTTTCAATTGATTAAAAAGCTTCATTTGAATGTGTTAGACTTTCATTTGATTCAAAAAGCTTTGTTTGAATGTGTTTGACTTTCATACGATTAAAAACGTTTGTTAAAATGTGTTTTATTTTCATTCAATACAAAAATATTCGTGTTCATGTGACTGACTTAGATTTGATTTAAATAGTTTTATTTTAATGTATTTGACTTTAATTTGATTCAAAAATCTTCGTTAGAATGTGTTTGTCTTTCATTTTATTCAAAAAGCTTTGATTGAATGTGTTGACTTTTATTTGGTCCAAAAAATTTGTTACATTGTGTTTGTCTTTCATTTGATTTAAAAAGCTTTGATTAAATGTGTTTGACTTTCATCTGATTCAATTAGTTTTGTTGAATGCATTTGACTTTCATTTGATTCAAAAAGCTTTGTATGAATGTGTTTGACTTTCAATTGATTTGAAAAGCTTAGTTTTAATGTGTTTGACTTTCATTAATTCAAAAAGCTTTGTTTGAACGTGTTTCATTTTCATTTGATTCCAAAACCTTTATTTTAATATGTTTGACTTTCATTCAATTTAAAAACCTTTGTTTTAATGTGTTTGACTATGGTTTGATTCAAAAAGCTTTGTTTAAATGTGTTTGACTTTTATTTGATTCAATTAGCTTTGTTTGAATGCATTTGACTTTCATTTGATTCAAATAGCTTTGTTTAAATGTACTTGATTTTCATTTGTTTTAGAAAGCTTTGTTTGAATGTGCTTGACTTTCATTTGATTTAATTAGCTACGTTGAATGCATTAGACTTTCATTCAATTCAAAAATCTTTGTTTGAATGTGTTTGACTTCCATTTAATTCTAAAAGCTTTGTTTGAACGTCTTTGACTTTCATTCAATTCAAAAGGCTTTTTTTTAATGTGTTTGACCATCATTTGATTTAAAGTGTTTTATTTAATGTGTGTAGCTTACGTTTGATTTAATTAGCTCATTGAATGCATTTGACTTTCATTTACTTTAAAAATCTTTGTCTGAATGTGTCTGACTTTCATTTGATTAAAAATCTTTATTTGAATGTGTTAGACTTTCATTTGATTTAAAAAGCTTTGCTTAAATGTGTTTGAATTTCATTTGATTCAAAAAGATTTGTTTGGACGTTTTTGACTTTCATTTGATTCCTTAACATTGTTTTAATGTTTTTTTTTCATTCAATTTAAAAACCATTGTTCTAAAGTATCTGACTTTGGTTTGATTCAAAAAGCTTTGTTTAAATGTGTTGGCTTTCATTTTATTCAATTAGCTTCGTTGAATGCATTTGACTTTCGTTAGCTTTGAAAATCTTTGTTTTAATGTGTTTGACTTTCATTTTATTCTAAAAGCTTTATTTAATTGTGTCTGAATTTCATTTGATTCAATTAGCTTCGTTGAATGCATTTGACTTTCATTCGATTAAAAAACCTTTGTATGAATGTGTTTGACTTTTGTTTGAATCAAAAAGCTTTGTTTGAATGTGTTTGACATTCATTTTATTCAATAATCTTTATTTTAATGTGTTTAACCTTCATTTAATTGAAAAAGCTTAGTTTAAATGTGTTTGACTTCCATTTGGCTCAAAAACCTTTGTTTTAATGTGTTTGACTTTAATAAAATTTAAAAACCTTTTGTTTTAATGTGTTTGACTTTGATTCGATTCAAAAAGATTTGTTTGAATGTGTTTGTCTTTCATTTGATTCAATTAGCTTCATTAAATGCATTTGATTTTCATTTAATTTTAAAAGCTTTGTTTAAATGTGTTTGACTTTCACTTTTTTCAAAATCTTGATTTGAATGTGTTGACTTTCCTTCGATTCATAAAGATTTGTTTGAATGTGTTTGAGATTCATTTGATTCTAAAAGCTTTGTTTGAATGTGTTTGAATTTCATTCAATTTAAATGTCTTTGTTTTAACGTGTTTCACTTTCATTAAAAAGGCTTTGTTTGAATGTGTTTTAACGTTTTTCATTCGATTCAATTAGTTTTGTTGAATGCATTTATCTTTCATTCGATTCAAAAAGCTTTGTTTGAATGTGTTTGACTTTTAATTGATTCTAAAAGCTTTGTTTGAATGTGTTTTACTTTCATTTGATTCAAAAAGCTTCATTTCATTGTCTTGGATTTCATTTGATTTAAAAAAGCTTTGTTCGAATGTGTTTAACTTTCATTTTATTTAATTAGGTTCCTTAAATGCATTTGACTTTCATTCGATTTAAAAAGCTTTGTTTGAATGAGTTTGACTTTATTTTGATTCAACAAGCTTTGTTTTCATGTGGTTCACTTTAATTTGATTTAAAAAGCTTTCTTTTAATTTGTTTAACTTTTATTTGATTCTAAAAGCTTTGTTTAAATGTGTTTGACTTTCATTTGATTTAATTAGTTTCATTGAATGCATTTTACTTTTATTTGATTCAAAAAGCTTTGTTTGAATGTGTTGACATTTTATTTATTCAAAAACCTTTGTTTGAATGCTTTTTACTTTCATTCTATTCAAAAAGATTCCTTTTAATGTGTTTGACATTCATTTCACATAAAAAGCTATGTTTGAATGTATTAGACTTGCATTTGATTCAATTAGCTTCGTTGAATGCATTTGACTTTCATTCCATTCAAATTGCTATATTTGAATGTGTTTTAATTTTCATTTGAATTGAAAATCTTTGTTTGAATATGTTTAACTTTCATTAGATTAAAAAAGCTATGTTTAATTGTGTTTTACTTTCGTTTGATTCAAAAAACATTGTTTGAACGTGTTTGACTTTCATTTGATTACAAAACCTTGGTTTTAATGTGTTTGACTTTCATTCTACTTAAAAACCTTTGTTCTAATGTATTTGACTTTCATTTGATTCAATGAATTTAGTTGAATGCATTTGACTTTCATTCGATTCAAAAATATTTGTTTGAATGTGTTTGATTTTCATTTAATTCAATTAGCTTTGTTGAATGCATTTGGCTATTATTTGATTCAAAAAGTTTTATTTGAATGTATTTTTCTTGCATTTGATTCAAAAAGTTTTGTTTGAATGTGATTGATACTCATTTGATTCAATAGCTTCGTTGAGCGCATTTGACATTCATTCGACTAAAAAATCTTTGTATGAATGCGTTTTACTTTCATTTTATTCGAAAAGCTTTGTTTGAATGTGTTTGACATAAATTTGATTCAAAAATCTTTGTTTTATTGTGTTTTACTTTCATTTGATTCAAAAAGCTTAGTTTGAATGTGTTTGACTTTCATTTGATTCAAAAACCTTTGTTTTGGGTGTTTCAATTTCATTTAATTAAAAAATCTTTGTATAAATGTTTTTTACTTTTATTTTATTCAAAAAGCTTTGTTTGAATGTGTTTGACATAAATTTGATTCAAAAATCTTTGTTTTATTATGTTTGACTTTCATTTGATTAAAAAAGCTTAGTTTGAATGTGTTTGACTTCCATTTGATTCAAAAAGCTTTGTTTGAATGTGTTTTACTTTCATTTGATTCAAAAAGCTTCATTTCATTGTGATTGATTTCATTTGATTTAAAAAAGCTTTGTTTGAATGTGTTTAACTTTCATTTGATTTAATTAGCCTCCTTGAATGAATTTGTCTTTCATTCGATTCAAAAAGCTTTGTTTGAATGTGTTTGACTTTCTTTTGATTCAAAAAGCTTTGTTTTCATGTGGTTGACTTTAATTTGATTTTAAAAGCTGTGTTTTAATGTGTTTAATTTTTATTTGATTTTAAAAGCTTTGTTTAAATGTGTTTGACTTTCATTTGATTCAATTAGCTTCGTTGAATGCATTTTACTTTTTTTCGATTCAAAAAGCTTTGTTTGAATGTGTTGACATTCTGTTGATTCAAAAACCTTTGTTTGAATGCTTTTTACTTTCATTCGATTCAAAAATCATCCTTTTGATGTGTTTGACTTTCATTTCACATAAAAAGCTAAGTTTGAATGTATTTGACTTTCATTTGATTCAATTAGTTTCGTTGAATGCATTTGACTTTCATTCCATTCAAATGGCTATATTTGAATGTGTTTTACTTTTCATTTGAATCAAAAATCTTTGTTTGAATGTGTTTAACTTTCATTTAATTCAAAAAGCTATGTTTAATTGTGTTTTACTTTCGTTTGATTCAAAAAGCTTTGTTAGAACGTGTTTTACTTTCATTTGATTACAAAACCTTTGTTATAATGTGTTTGACTTTCATTCTACTCAAAAACCTTTGTTCTTATGTGTTTGACTTTCATTTGATTCAATGAACTTAGTTGAATGCATTTGACTTTCATTCGATTCAAAAAATTTTGTTTGAATGTGTTTGATTTTTATTTAATTCTTTTTTTTTTTTTGAAAGTAAGAAAATTATTATAAACAGAAACTGTACAAATGTACAAGAAGTTACAATCTGTCAATCCAGGAAACACCAGACTACACAAGCCTTACAAGTAAGGCACACCACCCCCAGCAGAATCAAGGGTATCCCGTTCACCTTCTAGGAAGGGTACCAGGACACACAAGAATCAAAAAACCAGGTTCAAAGACCCCTGGTACCTTCTAGGAAGGGCACAGGGGACCAAGACCTGCACAAAAAACACACTAAAACCCCTGCCAATACAAACCAGCATACAAAACAAGACTAACAAAACGCAACTAGACACTATTTCTAAGCTGATGTAGCCATTTACAGTCAGCAATTGTCCAAGTATGATTGATTATCTGCTGGAACCTAGTCACCACCTCCCTTCTAATGACCTTAGCAATGAATTCAGGTCTAAGAAAAGCACTATGCCATAGAGCATGATTCCTAGCAAGCCAAATACTGTAAACAACAGCAGTCAAACTAGCCAGGATCAAATTCTTCTGAACATGGTTCCTACCCTCAGCTTTCCATAATTTCCAGTTGTGAAGAATGTCTACCTGATCTTTATCAAAACCAATCCATTGAGAAACAGCCTTCAACACCTTCCTGTTAAAACTGCAGGAGAAGAAAAGATGACTGCAATTTTCCACAGCATCACCACAAAGCAAGCAGTCACTGCTGTTACTCACCCCATATTGAAATAGATTATCTCTAGTTTTAAGTCCTCCCAAAACAGCAAGCCGTACAATAAAGGTATGTTTTGGGATGTTGAAAGGATTCCAAACCCAATTACACCATTGAACCTTATCCAAATCACCTTGCAGCCAGTTATACCCATCTCTAATTTTGTACTTGTTATTCAGCCAACCTTAGAGGTAAAACCATGTCTCATATCATTTTTTAACTTTGCATAACAATTTCCATGCCCACCCAGCATCTTTCTTTGGGACATAATCCCACCAATTTTCACCTTTAATGTAAACTGAATGTACCCATTTAACCCATAAAGAGTCAGTTTTCTTGGCTATTTTCCAAACATACACACCCAGAGCAGCTTTGTTACACTTCCTGCAATCTCTGATTCCAAGACCACCTGCCTTCTTAGGTCTGCAACACCAATCCCAGGCAATTGGAGGGGTAGTAGATAGAACAACATTACCACTTCATAGGAAAGATCTGCATTGCTGGTTAATCCTATCAATGACTGATTTGGGAAGTAAAACACATTGAGCCCAATAAGTATGCAAACTCATTAACACAGCATTAATAAGGGTGACCCTAGCTGCATATGAAAGATTCCTACTACTCCAGCAATGTAATCTGACCAGCATCTTGTCAATCAAACTATCATAATCCACCATCTTCAAATACTTCGCATTTAAAGGAATCCCCAAGTACCTAAAAGGCATATTACCCTTCACAAATCCAGACTCGCACAAAATGCTATCTTGGGCAGGTTGCTGAACATTACCAAAGTAAATTGCAGTTTTCTCAAGATTAGCCTGCAAACTAGATCTAGCTTCAAAGGTTTTAAGAGCCTTAATCAGGAGCTTGACAGAATCATTAGTCCCATAGGAAAACAACATCAAATCATCTGCAAAAATTAAGTGATTTAAAGCAAGCTCCTTACACCTTTGGTGATATTTAAATCTCCTCTTTTTCCCAACATTCTTCAGCAATCTGGACAGATATTCCATCACAATAACAAATAAGAGAGGAGACTTAGGATCACCTTGCCTTATTCCCTTTTTCCCTTTAAAAAGACCATAAGAACCACCATTAAGCAGTAAAGAGAAAGTAGGAGTAGTAACACATTGCATTACCCAAGAAATGAAGTGAGTGGGAAACTTCAAAGCATACATCATTCCCTGAATAAACTCCCAGCTTACAAAATCATAAGCCTTCCTAAGATCCACCTTAATGGTACACCAAGGGGTCTTCCTTTTATTATAATAAGCCTTTAGCATGTCTTGACAAATAAGGATATTATCCAGAATAGATCTTCTAGAGACAAAGGCTCCTTGACAATCATCAATTAAATCAGGCAGCACCTCCTTCAATCTAGAACAAATCATTTTAGAAATGATATTATACACCACATTACAACAAGCTATAGGCCTGAATTGAGTGACCTTATTAGCATGTTCAATCTTTGGGATCAAAGTCAAAGTAGTGGCATTGACCTATTTAAGCAACTTACCAACATTGAAAAAATCCAGGACAGCCTTGGTAACATCATTACCAATAATATGCCAAGCAGCCTTAAAAAACTTGTTGGAAAACCCATCAGGACCAGGAGCCTTATCATCATCAATACTCCATAAAGCAGACTTAACATCATTGTCAGAAAAGGCTCTACAAATAGTCAAACCTTGCTCATCAGATAACCTGTTACCCTCAGCTATGACTGCAAAATGAATGTTGCCCTGCATAGGAGCTTCAGTTCTAAGTAACCCTTGGTAATACTCCAAGAAAGCCTCACACACCTCCTTAGGATCAACAGTCACCTCCCCCATATTATTCACAATGGAATAGATATTATTATGAAGTCTTCTCTTCCTAATAACATCATGGAAGAAAGCAAAATTCATATCACCATCTTTAAGCCAATGAACCTTATCTTTTTGCTTCAAAAAATTGTATCTATCCAGGTGAGTTTTAGCATATCTGACTCTAGCTTCCCTTTCCAAATCAATCAGACTCTCATTATCAGGCTCAGCTTAGAGTTTCACTTGGATTTCCATCAAAGTCTTCTCAGCTACAGCATCCTCAGTTTCAATACAAGAGTAATTCACCATTTTCAAGTTCTTCAACACTTTTTTCATCTCCTTCAACTTCCTAGCACACTAGAACATTAATGTGCCATCAACATTAATCTCTCAGGCCTCCTTAACAGGTACAAGAAACTCAGGGGAATCCACCCAGATATTAACAAATCTAAAAGGTTTCTTAACTTGAGTCCCAAAATCAAACATGTTAATAACACAAGGGCAATGATCCATTAAACCTTCAGGGAAAAAGGTAGCTTGCATGTCTGGAAATCTATCCATCCACAAATAATTCACAATGATTATGTCAATTTTAGTACACACTCTATCACAGCCAGCTTCCTTATTACACCAGGTATAAAACATTCCCCCATCAGCCCAATCAGAGAGGTTGTTCTGTCTTAGGCAAGCTCTAAAAGGCTCCACTTCAGTCAAAGAAACAAGATTGCCAATTCTATCAGTAAGGTTCAAGATGTTGTTAAAATCCCCACAAAGAACCCAAGGTTTGTTCATACAATCACCAATCTAAGTTATTTGCTCCCAAAGCTTATGCCTAGCAACAACCTCATTCAAACCATAGACCATTGTGCAGAAAAAAACTATTACCTGTTCCCTTATGAACAACCTGTAAATGGATTAACTGTTCTTCACATCTAATAACAAACACATTAAACACCTGAGGCATCCAAATAACCCAAATTCTACCACCCTTATGATGAGAGTAATTAGCACACACTGACCAATGACTTCCCAATCTATTAAACACCACACCAAACTTCTCAGCCTTCACCTTAGTTTTAAGAAGTCCAAAAAGACCAACACCATGATGTCTGATGAACCATAAGACATCACAGAGCTTACTAGCCTTATTTAGACCTCTAACATTCTAGAAACCAAGTTTATCCATGGAGAGAAAAAAATCATTCCCCCTCCTCTAAAACACTGAATCTATTTCCACTGCTACTGATCAGAATAATTCCAGGTTTCAAACTTTGAAGTTTCTGATTACCATCATCTTCTTGCCGAGGAACATTCAAATTATCAGTCCCACTATTAAAATTTCGAGAAACAGTCTTCTGAACTGGTTTCCTGATTTTCTTTTGTCTATCCTTGTTCTGAACTCGCTTAGGCTGTATTTTCATCTTATTCCTCTCCTTCACCTTATTGTTAGGACATTGAACATCAATATGCCCAATCCCACCACACACCTTACAGATCATAGGCCTACACTCACACTTCAGAGCTTGTTTTATTGTATTGCCATATTCATCTAGAAACTCAATGCAATCTAGTAGATCAACATTAAACTTCACCTCTATCATTATTCTAGCATACTCCAATCTTTCCTTGGTGGTTGTTTCCTTATCAGTCTTGATAGGATTCCCTATCATAGCAGCCATTTTCATTATTCTAGCATACTCCAATCTTTCCTTGGTGGTAGTTGCCTTATCAGTCTTCACCTCTATCATTATTCTAATCTTTTATTTGATTTTCATTTAATTCAATTAGCTTTGTTGAATGCATTTGGCTATTATTTGATTCAAAAAGCTTTATTTGAATGTATTTTTCTTGCATTTGATTGAAAAAGTTTTGTTTGAATGTGATTAACATTCATTTGATTCAATTAGGTTCGTTGAGCGCATTTCACATTCATTTGACTAAAAAATCTTTGTATGAATGTGTTTTAATTTCATTTTATTCAAAAATCTTTGTTTGAATGTGTTTGCATAAATTTGATTCAAAAATCTTTGTTTTATTGTGTTTTACTTTCATTTGATACAAAAATCTAGTTTGAATGTGTTTGACTTTCATTTGATTCAAAAACCTTTGTTTTGTGTGTTTGAATTTCATTTAATTAAAAAATCTTTGTATAAATGTTTTTTACTTTTATTTTATTCAAAAAGCTTTGTTTGAATGTGTTTGACATAAATTTGATTCAAAAATCTTTGTTTTAATGTGTTTGACTTTCATTTGATTCAAAAAACTTAGTTTGAATGTGTTTGATTTCCATTTGTTTAAAAAACCATTATTTTAATGTGTTTGAATGTCATTTAATTAAAAAATCTTTGTTTAAATGTGTTTGACTTTCATTTTATTCTAAAACCTTTGTTAGAATTTGTTGACTTTCATTCGATTCAAAAAGCTTTGTTTTAATGTGTTTGTCTTTCATTTAATTCAAAAAGTTTTGATTAAATGTGTTTGAATTTCATTTGAATCAATTGGCTTGGTTGAATGCATCTGACATTAATTCGATTTAAAAGACTTTGTATGAATGTGTTTGACTTTCATTCCATTTAAAAATCTACATTAGAATGTGTTTGACTTTCATTTGATTCAAAAAGCTTTGTTTGATTTTTTTTTACTTTCATTTGATTCAAAAAGTTTAATTTGAATGTGTTTGACTTTCATTTGATTTAATTAGCTTCGTTAAATGGATTGACTTTTAATTAATAAAAAAAGCTTTGTTTGAATGAGTTTGAATTTTATTTGATTATAAAAGCTTTATTTGAATGTGTTTGACTTTCATTCGATTCAAAAGCTTTGTTTAAATGTGTTTGACTTTCATTTGATTCTGTTAGCTTCGTTGAATGCATGTTACTTTCATTCGATTCAAAAATCTTTTTTTGAATGTGTTTGACTTTCATTTGATTCAAAAAGCTTTGTTTCAATATGTTTTACTTTCATTAGATTCAAAAAGCTTCATTTTAATGTGTGTAACTTTTATTTGATTTAAAAAGCTTTGTTTAAATGTGTTTTACTTTAGTTTGATTCAACTATCTTCGTTGAATGCAATTGACTTTTATTTTATTCAAAAAACTTTGTTTTAATGTATTTAACTTTTATTTGATTCAAAAAGCTTTGTTTTAAGGTGTTTGACTTTAATTTAATTCAAAAAGCTTTGTTTGAATATATTTGGCATTCATTTGATTCAAAAAGCTTTGTTTGAATGTGTACGACTTTCATTTGATTCAATGAGCTTCGTTGTATGCACTTGACTATCATTCGATTAAAAAAGCTTTGTTTGAATGTCTTTGACTTTCATTATATTCAAAAAGCTTTGTTTAAATGTGTTTAACTTTCATTCGATTCAAAACTCTTTGTTTTAATGTGTTTGAATTTCATTTTATTTCAAAAGCTTAGTTTGTATGTGTTTAACTTTTATTTGATTTAATTAGCTTCGTTGAATGCATTTGACTTTCGTTCGATTCAAAAAGCTTTGTTTGAATGTGTTTGACTTTCATGTGATTTAATTAACTTCGTGGAATGCATTTCACTTTCATTTGATTCAAAAGGCTTTGTTTGAATGTGTTTATTTTTATTTGGTTTAAAAAGCTTTATTTTAATGTGTTTGACTTTCATTTGATTCAAAAATCTTTATTTGAATGTGTTTGAGTTCCATTTGATTCAAAAAACTTTGTTTTAATGTGTTTGTCTTCCATTCAATTTTAAAACCTTTGTTTTAATATGTTTGACTTTGATTTGATTCAAAACGCTTTGTTTGAATGTGTTTGACTTTCATTTGATTCAATTAGCTTCGTTAAATGCATTTAATTTTCATTCGATTTAAAAAGATTTATTTTAATGTGTTTGACTTTCATTTGATTCAAAAACCACTATTTTAATGTGTTTGACTTTCATTTGATTCTAAAAGCTTTGTGATAATGTGTTTGTCTTTCTTTTGATTCAAAAAGCTTTGATTGAATGTGTTTGACTTTCATTTGATTCAATTAGCTTCGTTAAATGCATTTGATTTTCATTTGATTAAAAAAGATTTGTTTTAATGTGTTTGACTTTCATTTGATTCAAAAACCTTTGTTTTAATGTCTTTAATTTTCATTCGATTCAAAAAGCTTTTTTTTAATGTATTTGAGTTTTATTTGATTCAAAAAGCTTTGTTAGAATGTGTATGTCTTTCTTTTGATTCAAAAATCTTTGATTGAATGTGTTTGACTTTCATTTGATTTATAAGGCTTTGTATGAATGTGTTTTACATTCATTCCTTTCATAAACCTATATTTAAATGTTTTTTACATTCATTTGATTCAAAAAGCATTGTTTAATTGTGTTTTTCTTTCATTTGATTCAAAACGATTTGTTTGAATTTGTTATAGATTCGTTTGAATTAATTAGCTTAGTTTAATAAATTTTACTTTCATTCAATTCAAAAAGCTTTGTTTGAATGTATTTGACTTTCATTTGTTCAAAAAACTTTGTTTGAATGTTTTTGTTATTCATTTGATTCAATTAGCTTCATTGAAGGCAGTTGACTTTCGACCAATTTGAAAAGCTTTGTTCGAAAGTGTATG